ATAACGATTTGCCTGACAGGCAAGAAAGCTGAAAGCTCCCTTAAAATTTTCAATAAGAAATATGAAAGACTCCATTTTGAAAGGGATGTGGTAGGCGACAGTTCTCATTCAGGCTTGGCGCTACTGTACTTAATTGTAAACTGCAAATTACTCGTTTATTGGTAAGGCTTGAATAAAAATACAAATAGTGTGGAGATTTCTGAAAGTCCTGAATGTTTCAAAATCTACTCTTTGACAACCTTTCATTGAAGTATAAGTAGGCCATATTTAACAGATTATATTAGGAAAAGCAGGCTTAGTTTTCCATAAATCCATAGAAGGATTATTACACTAATTTTTGGTTGGGGGGGGGGTTAAGGAAATTTCAGATTTTAAAGCCTGAGTACTGTTACTGAATATGATTAATATAAGCTATTTCTCAGATATGGTACTTAAATACTTTTATTTCCTACTGTTAATTATAATCTTTTTACAGTGTTTTAATGGGCAAAATAATTAATACAAAGGTTATATTTTAGCTGCTCTTAATAGAAATGTGGTATTATCTGTTTCTGCCCTCCACAGGAATTTTAAAGAGAAACTACATAACTGCTAATATACTATATATCTCCCAGAAAATAGTTTCTTTTCCTCTTACATAACTAATTTGTACCAAAAGAATCCTACTGCAAGCCAAAAGATGCATGATACTTCAATAAATTATTTGCTTTTAGCACTCTTGAACACTGCTACACTTGGTGGTAAATTTATTAAAACTACTATTAGTTTAGATGGTAGCTTACTTAAGTTTACTAGGAAAAACAGGCATAGTTTGAAGCAAGCAGATTTTTAAAAAACATTGTATAGCCATTCATGCAATCCTTAAGGGAATTTCCATACCCTAGATTTTAACATTCTATGTTAAAAGACATAGCTAACTGCCACACATTGGGTATTTTGTTTACTGGAAACAAATTATTTTCTTGCCTGAGCAGATCTTTTAAATAGGATGGAAGTTTACATGGAAATCAAGCTTTAATAAAACTGTATCCTAGTAATTTATTGTTCTGACTTACAGCTACAACTCTTCATGAAGTGACTCCCTAACTGTGCATATTTTAAGTGGAATATAACCTTTATATTTAGATGTAGTATTTCTTTTGTAAACTGTGTTATAAGAATACTGGAGACTCATTTAGGAAACTGTTCAAGAAGTATTGGTGGTCTTTTTTTTTTACTGTATTTAAATGCAAATCTCTCAGACATTCAATAAACTCATGTCTTCAGCTTGGAATCTGTTTCTTCATTCTGTCCTTTTTTAATGAAAAACTTATTAATTTAACTGGAAGTTAGTTTCTATCTCCGCTTCCCTACAGCTTTTCAACTTTGAAGCTTACTAAACTTCATCTCTGGTCCACAAAGTATTTAACAGCACTGTTATTAGTACATAGTTATTTATCTGTCTCTCAGAGAGGAAAAGTAATGTCAGTTTACACAAATGAAAAATCAAATTTAAAGTGTGAGGCATAGCATTAAGTTATTATTAAGCAGACTTTACAACTAGCAGTATTTTGGGAAAGTGAGGGTACTCTATATAGACCCTCCTGACAAAATCAATCCTCCTCAGTGAAGTGTACAGACTTGCTACTACTTAACTTTTTATACAGTTTGTATAACTTTGTAAATTACTTTCTTATTTATCTAACGTATTTGGAGTATGTATTTTCTCAATGTATTCAAAAATAACCAGGCCTTTTTGTACTGCAGTAAGCACCTGTTCTTAAAAAAAAAAAAAAATCTAGCCTGGTCAAAATTGCAGCTAATTTTAATACAAACTGTTTGGCACTCGGATCAGTTCAATAATCAACACATTGTATATAGTAAGGATTAAAAGAAGTAACTGTACCACATACAACCAACTCTAGTCTCCACTGTCTTTCAGTACAAAGAAGAAGACAATGTTTCCAAAATTTCAGCAGAATATCCCAGAATTTCTTTTGTAGTTGTTGTCTCTCTTCTGGTTTTATGAATCAACAGGTTCCTTACAGAATAAAAGGCAAATTTCATCAGCAAACTAATACTTCAGTTTAGGATCTCACAGTGGAGAGTTCTCCAGAGGCACAAAGTATACATGTATATACATAAAATACTCATAGCTGCTAGTCACTTCACTGAATACCAGCAGCTGCAAATATAATCACTAAGGGTTTTATTAAAATGTTTTGCTTTTTCTACCTCCATGCTTTCAGACTGTTTTAGTGACATTTATATTGTAAAGGAAATGTGTCATTTAGACACTTATTTTTTTAGTCTGGAAGGAAAACATCTCTTGAATGAAAATAAGGCTATGCACCAATGTTACATACACACATATGCCATATTATATATGTGCATATATATGGCAATGGGAAAACCATTGTTGTGATATGGGAAAAGATTTTCCCTTGCTATTACATAAAAAAAAAAGCAGAGACATGAAGTACTTCAAATACTGTCACTGAACACCAGTGGATTTTATAGACATTCTACCATGAGAAAACAGAGACAAAGATTAGCATAGGAAACATTATGTTCTGTAATTCTTGAAGCAAAATGAGTAGCTCTGCTTTCTCCCCACCCAACTGCTCATTCTGGCCTCCTCTCATCTTCCCACTGCAAGTTTCTGTGACAGATTACTTGATTCAATTCCCTGTGTGGCCTCACAGCAGGATCTGCCAAAGCAAAACACCTCATAATATGCCTGTTAACAATTCTGTGGGACAGGCAATTCCCATTACTGCTTCCTTGTTAAAAGCTAGAAAACAGCAACTAACTGTTTGGGGCGTTTTTATGTGAAATCTCCAAGCAAATGCTAGCAAACCTTTGCCCAACTACAGAACTCTATGTACAAGTAAAAAGTCCCAACAACTAACCATTATGAGTCACACAAATTCCAGTTGTAACTGAATGATCCAAGCCTCCCTTACCAATAAAAAGATAACAAGCATGGAATAGAGTCTAAAACCATGAAAACCCATGGCCAGCAGGACAGAAACACAGAGGTTCATCAGCTACCACATCCATGTGTTTGAGAACTCTCTAGTGGAGACAGACAATTAACTCCTCCAGCTCTCTCCACTAGGCTGCAGGGGTTTATTTATTTAGGTAACTGAAGCAGTATCTTTAGGATTTATTTATACCACTTCCTCACTTTGTTGTTCTTAACTTAAAACAGTGATAAGAAACATTCTGTTCAGCTATTTGACCTATTGACTTGCATGATAATCTATCAAGTTATACCCATTATAGTCAAGGTACTGCACTGTATTTTTGGTTTTCTGTGGTCTGGGGCTGCTTTTGGGATTTTTGGGTTGTGGGGAGTGGTGTAGTTTTGTTTGTTTGGGTTGTTTTATTTTGTGTGTGGGTTTGGGGTTGGTTTTTTTTTTTGGTAGTGGTGGGTTTATTTTTTATTCTACTTTATTTGGATTTTAAAGCTTTGAAAAAACTAAGGGTGACCTGAGATGTGTGTGCCATCTCCTGGTCAGTGATATTGTCACAGCCATTCTAGAACATTTCACCTTCATTACCTTCCTTTCAGCATGCTCATTTGAGACACCAGAATTCACCTTTTGTCAGTTTCAAACTGCAAGAAGTGAGAGACAGTAAGTACTGTGGTTATTCACAAATATACATAATAGTTTAATCAAAAGACCAACCTGACAATGAAGAGCTATGCACAGTGAATCCTGTGAAACGGTTTAACTGCTCCTGAAAAAGCTGTTCAGTTCTTTAACAAAAAACTTACTTAACATTGATTTAAGCCAGTGGAAACCTGGTAAGCTAACACACAAACTAGCTTATTTCAATAAAAAACAGCAATCTCAATTTAAATGTTTATTCTCTAAATAATACTTTTGTATATGCTATGTAATAGCATCTTCAGTTTGATAGGTATACCAACACATAGGTATACTAACAAACACTGAACACATGAGGCCAAACATCTGCAATCTGACTTTAAACCTTTCCCAGGAAAGGCATAAGCAAGAACATTAAAGATTGGCATTTGCTATAGCTTAGCTATCATTAAAAACTAAACTAACAAGGGGAAGAGGACCCATGAACCCCTTAAAAACTGGATTATTGTTTAGGCCCCTTCACATTAGTCTATCAAATATTCACATAAACCATTTTCCAAGTGTAGCCTCAAAGAGGGTACACTGTTGTGGAAAACCAAGCAGGTATTTGTATGCAGTTGTCAGTTCACAAGACAGTCCTGTAGTTAGACATTACCCAAATACAAAATTCAAAGCAAGTATCATTCCAAATCTGATGGAAGAAGAGGAGCATCTCTTTTCCTTATTTTGAAGTGATCAATCATGCTACAAAGTACACTAAACATAGAATGTTTCACGAGGAAACAACACAGAAAGAAGTACGGTTGTAAAAAAAAAAAAAATCTTTTAACTATAATAAACCATAAAGTGAACTGCAGAGATCTCTTCTCATAATAAACCAATGCAACTCTCAAACAACTATACTTATTAGTGTCCTAAAAATATTTACCAATTTTGAATTTTACACTTATGTTAACATACCAACTATAGCAAGTTCATATCACAATGTAAAAAAAAGTAAAACCATTCTAAATATTGTATTAAAGATGAATTCTTAAAAATCTAAATTGAGTTTTTTCATAACTGCTGTCCAAAGGGCATTCAGAAGGGAAGGAGCAGGAGATGGGGAGTGGTGCCTTCAAGGCAATGGGACAACTGCTTCTCCATTACATGGATCCTAACTTCTGAGTGGATGCTTCCATCAAACCACAGTCCTCACCTGATTTCTCACATAAATCTGGTTTATAACAGCTGTACGTCAACTGCTGAGAATTTCATTCCTGGCACATGCACCCTTCATGCTTTGTAACTGGGGGAGATTCATCAATAAGTCAATAGCAAAGTCACTTCTGAGCCATTAACACATACTAGCACTATCAGGTCTACCCTTGCTTCTTACACCATTTAATTACAGAGCACTGCAGATCTTTCCCTGATTCTCAACCTATTACAGATTCTGTACCATTTCTCAACTCAGAGAATTACAGGTGCCTTTTCCCTTTATGTCTAACCTTTTCCTTAATGATGAGAAAGAAATTAAAAAACTGAGAAGGTAGAATGCACCTATATTCAAGAAACAGCCCTTACACAGAATTTGTTTTCAGGAAGTTGTGAAACTTGCATGTTTCATAAACGTGGAACCAGTTCTGATAACAGCAGCTCATTCCAAGCTGCCAATGACATTGTGAAGCGTGCACAAAATAAGGCCTTTTAAGTTAACCATCTCTTTACTCATAAGAAAGACTAAGTAGAGGTATTAAAATTACTGGTGAAAAAATCTGGGTATCCAAAGAAGCTTAAGAACTGCAGTGCTTTGCTTCCTGTATGAAAAAGCCAATCTTAGGAAGACACAAATTTTGAAGGATGCACAAGTCCATCATCTAACATTTGCTCGCTGTGTATTACACATGCAGTTCAGCTCTACTTAAGTCACCTTAGCCAAGCCAGTAAGCTCAACTATTTCTAACATGTCTGCCTTTCATGTCTGCTGAATTTATTAAGACTTTTTTAGACAACAGCTATATGAGGAAATAGAAAATTTTTCCAAGTGCAAAGGGGCCAGGTCAGCATTCACAGTGACAGAACTTTTTGGTTGGGTTTTCTTTTTTGTTTTCTTTTTAAAGAGAGTAGTCAAAGATACCAGTTTCAAATAAATTAATTTCAGCTTCTGGAAAGCTACATGATGCCAGTTATTTCCCAAGGAGCAGTTACTAAGAACCTGGATAAAACAACAGGGCTAAATCTACCTTTTATTCCAACCTTACATCCAACATCATGGTACTCTTCCCAAGTATGCAATTTACTGAACAAGAAGCATTTGCAGCATATTCCAATTTATCAGAACAGTATCTGGTTTTCACAAAGGCCAAGTATGGGCTTATCTTGAAAGCAGCATCTAAAAATTATATCTTATTCAGGAAAAACTTGCCTTAAACCTACGTCCAAGTTGTATTATTCAGCACAACAATATAATTGTGTTATTAACTATGCTTAGAACTAACAAAAGATTATCAAAACCAATCTAGTCATGACAGCTACAATACGATAATAGAAAACAAGGAGAAATACTTAAACTTTTTCTTCACAGGAGTTAATTCCCCAATTTTAGCCTGATGCTCTACTTGAAAACCTCATGAGTTACTGTGATCTTTGTCAAAAGCACTCCACTACATGAGAGAGGTGCTGATGGATGAATACTGGAAAGTTTATAAAAGATTTTTTGGTTTTAGTTCACATACAAAACACACCGTTTCACTGACAGTTAAAAAATATTTCATTATTTTAACAACTTCATGAGAAGTTTGTGATTTAACTATCTTCATATTCAGTATTGAGCATTACAGCAGAGCCGTCACTGCTCAATGTGACCTGGCCAGCAACAAGCTTGCTTAACCTCTCAAAGGTACCACAAAGTTGATTTACTCTGGGAAAAGAAAAGATTGTTGCAAGAGGTATATAAACCACATTTCCACTGACAAATGATTCCATGCTTTTTTCAACAGCCAGTTTTCCAAGATCTTCTGAGAAGCAGTTCACTGAAGGCTGGAATTTGGATTTTCTCTCAGTAGGATCATCATTATACTCCCCATGTTCCGACATTAAACAGTTCAGCAGACTTTGCTTAATGATTTGTGCTGTGAAAATAACTTCTCCAACCACTGCATTCTGCAGGTACTTCTCATCCTCAAGACTTGGATACACTGCTTTGAAGACCTTTATAGCACACAACAACACAGAATAATATTTGCTTGTCAAAAAGAGCTTCTAAAATGTGAACATGATTTTTAATTCAATCCTGTTTTGCTTACTACTTTAAACATCTTCACATAACAGAAACACTAGACAATATGACTATGTATTACAACTACAATGGCAATCAGGTTAACAGAACTTTAAAAAAAAAAAAAATCAGTCTTATATCTTCAATCTATACTTGTAGATCAGGCAAGGTGAAAACCTGCAATTCTTCAATTCTTTTTAATCACTCTCTTCTTTTCCACATTGCTTATCCTAAGACTCTGGTGACAGTTCCACATCTACATAGATTCTACACTACTTCTGAACTGTGATCTGGAAACAAGGATTGCAGCTGTCTTTCATTCTGCTTCCAGAGTAAAACATTAAATATGCTCTCACAGATGTAAAAACTGATAAAAAAAGCCCACTTCTAACATGAAAATCTGTGAATTTATACTGTGTTTTACACTGAGATTAACTCCAAGGCAGTTAAGGAAACTAAGCAGTCTTATTCCCATTAGTTTACTAGGAAGTGCCTTATACCAACACACAACCACTGAAGCTCCAGAGTCTATAACTCTGTCCTCTTACTTTCTGATTACTTCTTGAAATGTTGATTTATTAACATGAATTACTTAAATAAAAACTAAATTGATACTAGAGATTTGATGAGATATAAAAGTCTTAAAGGACACTGATGTCAAAATTCCCTCCATAATGACAGAATACAATAAAACCAATTTCTAGTACATGTGAGTCACCTAGACATATATCAAAGTTTGATGAACATTACAGACCACTTAATTCTATTAAGGGCAGTAGATGACAGGTAAAATATCAAATGTACAGAACGTCTTCATAGGTGAATGTCTGTTAGTAGTTTCCAAGCTATCTTCACATTTCACTTCAGGTCACAAGTCACTCGAATATACATACGACTCTTTAAACAAAGAGAAATACTAGAATATGTTCACTGAACAAGTAATTTAAGGCCTTCTAAGATTCAAGGAAAAAAAAAAAACCAATGAAACAAATCAATATACTTTGCTTTTTGCATTGTTACTTCATGTTATCTCCAAAAAAAGAAAAAAATTCCCTTTGATTTATACCACATGGCACTTAGATGCACTGGGCTTTGTTGGTGTGACACACTGCAACACACAGCAGAGGACTACACAGAAAAAATTATCTCATGTTATCTAAAGGTAAAGCCATTTAGCACTAAATAGCAAAAAGGTTTCATGTGTACAGCCAGAGAACAGGTTTCTTGGAAAGATCCCATGCCTCTACAAAAATCAGAACTCTCTACCTGAATACAGAGAATAGGGTGTAATAGCAAATGTTAACAAGTATGGCAAACCACACAAAATAGGTCCTGTCAATCCAATTTCTGGGAAATGCCTTGTTTCTCATAATATATTTGATAAGACTATGCATTTTTTGCAAAACATACACCGCTATGGTTTTTATTTTTTAGGTACCTAAAAAAAAAACCACCACCTGTTAACACCAACAACCACATGATGAAAGTAAATGTATGATTAGAGGAAAAACTGTAACTGTCATAGAATGCCTGGAGGAAAGAGAATTTTCATTCTAAGGACATCACTATGTTAATGTAAGAATGATCATCCATACTGCTATTTGGCAAATAACCTAAAACTGTAAGACCTTTATACAACTAGAAACACAAATTATGTACTTAAGACTTCTGATCTGACTGTATGTGTTAATCAGAGCCAAGATTGGATAGTAACAGTAGTCCACAGTAAGAAGACCTTTACAGCCAGGTCATACTGAATTTTACTCTTAGTTCACCCTCCTAAAGGAGGAAAATGATACTTACTGTTTTGTAAACAGTTTCAGTGGGTTTCTCAGACTGAGTGGATACACTGGTTTGAGGACATTTTTTAACAAACACACCTATTTGAGTACAAAACCCAACATACTCCATTCCTCTTGGTGGGTGCCCCACACCAGTAAATTCCACCAAGTAGCCATGGCGTCTAGCAGTCTCTAGAGCCCTAAGAAACACAAAACATTCTGGTCATACTAAACATTCATGTTTTAATGTGATAAAGATGCATTCTCTAACAGAAGCAAGACCCCGAGCCTGTGAATGCTTGAGCAGATTTTTTTTTTGGCAATATTCACATGCCTGAAGATAGGCACTGTCAAAATTTGCTGAATCAGATCTGTAGTTATATGCCTACCCCAGCCTGACTCATTTAGTACTGGTAATTTAGGAAACCAAACAAACATGACTTATTTCTCAAGTATTTGCATAGAATATGCATGTTCACAGCTACATACTGTCTTAAATACACTGAAAGAAAGCTAAAACCTACCAATTTTAGAGAACTATTTGAAAAGAACTCTTAAAAGACATACACACCACAAAACAAGAGACCAACTGATAGGTAAGAAAAGTGAGGTTTGTTGCAAATGCACAAAGAATGAAATCTACCTAATCAAGGTTACAACAGTGTACATGACACCTAAATGAAAACCAATCTTCTAGTACTGCACATTAGCCAGTGTGAGAAAAGCGATGGGGCAGGGAAGTAAAATGGTACTACCTACTCAAATCATTCTCAAAAAAACTCATTCAGCAATATCAATATTTTTTAATTCACATGCATCCAAAAGTAGAACCTAAATTTACTTTAGGTTGTATAAGCAGTCTCTAAGGTATTCATCCTTTAGCTAATAATGCAAGCAGGTTTTAGGATCATTATTTAGGGGAAAATATACGCCTCAAGCTTTGCAGAACTACACAGTCAAAAACCACTCCATGCTTCAAAATCTATGGCAGAAAAAAACCCCACTAATTTAAGGGGCAAATTTTCTAAGATTGTTTATAACTAAAAGTTAGCTACTGAGGTGTGGCATCCTTTCTGTACCATGTATTTTCTTCCACAACTGCCTGACAGCTGAATGATAACACAGGATATATATATCCTATTCCCTCTCTGTTTTTATTTCACCTACTGATACTAGACTAACATACAGCTCATGCAACCCTCCGTTCTGTACAGACGCTTTGCATAGAATCTGTCATTGAGCAAAGACCCACTAAACTATCCTGAACCTCATTCAACATGCTATGCTACTATGAATATTTGATACATCTATTGGCATGCTCTTACAGAAAGATCTGGACTAACAGAACACTTTGATTATACCAGCATACATATTGAGCACATTCCTTGGGGTTTTATGAAGCATTTCTATAGCAGGCTATTATTATGTACAAAGGTTAATTATTACTTTACACTTTAAACATATTCATTGTAATTAAGGCATACAAAAACGTTTAAAAAATAGTAAAAAAAATAAAAGTTTTAAACATTTTTTGCAGATCATTTACAGTCAAAGAAAGACAACAACCATCCTAAAATACAAGCCCCACAGAATATGCTTACCTATTTATAATATCAAAGAAATGTTTCACCAAATCAGGTGTGAAAGTCCGCTGACACCAAACCACATACACAAACCATTTGAAAACGCATAGCTAGCCCTTTCTCGCACTACTGAGCACTCAAAGCTGGGTGGCTGTGATATTCAGCAAGCTTACCAGCTTTGAAACTGCAACTGTGTCCATTCAAATTTGTGGTCTGGATCTCTGAATAACTTCACTCGTGGAAGTAAAGTGTTGAATTCAGAATTTGGAGTACTGATAACAACCCTGCTTGGAGCCATGAAACCAAACACCACTTCAGGAAACTTCTTCAGTTCCGGTTCTTCCAGGTGCTCTATTCTGTAAAGGATAAGTTTATGCATGTGTTCAAGAACACCCTACTATATCTTAATCTTCTTAACAACCAGTCAAAAAACCCTAAACCCGTATCTGTACCTTGGAATTTTAAGCCTAGCACTGCAATACTGGCATTGGCACTGTGGCTGAGTGGCAGCTTAGAGGTTTTTGTCTGTGACAATTTTCTCCTTCATTGTGTACTTTTTCCATCAAAATCTTTTCCTGCCATTAAGCTAGCACCACATCAGTTTCTTAGTATGCTTAATTTAAGCACAAGTTGGAAGATGACATACTCTGCTACTCTCTTCATTGTAAGGTTTGATCAACTCTCTCTCTCTAGTACAGACAAATTCCAAACCAGGCCCTAATGAACTTGGAAAAACATAGTATGTTGGCTTAATACTCACAGTTCAATGCACGTTACCAAGTCAAAACCAAGCATGCAAGGATCTTTATGGGCAACTGAACCACAATGCAAGGTAACAGTTAGGGATCTTTCACGTGGTTGCAAATAATCACCAGGAAGAGGAAACAACCTATGCCTACAAAGGTATTGAAAATACAATGTTACAGAAAGGACCTTAGGGCAAGATAAATTGTGCATGCAACTGAACTAGCTAACCCCTTACACGGACCCCTTGCAAATCTCAAAAAAGTTAACAATTTTACAGGGATTTACAAAAAGTAAAAAAACTTTCTAATATGAACACTTTTTATGACTGTCTACGGTGAGACAGAAAATCCAGCAGTTGTCCTTTACCTACAAAACTTTCTGCTGTACTCTCAAGCTATTTGGAAAGATGCTTGTAATTTTTACAGTAGCTCAGCTCTAGACATAGTTTAGAGGAATTTGGGGGAAATTATTAGGCAATCATATTGACTTATCTTCCCAAATAAAAACAACTAAAATGCATGAGCAAATTTCATTCTGAAATATTGCATCACACAAAACACACAAACATGAAATGTAATACCTCGCAGTCCTGGGGTAATGCTTGGACTTGATCATCTTAAACATCTTTTCTAACATAGCTGATTCTACAAATTCCATGGTACTCAGCTAACATGCAAATTTGTAAAGTACCTTCACAAATGCTGTATTTCCCATGTGTACACAACACACCTTCAGGGCCATTCCATGACTTGGATCTCTGCCACGTAAGGTGATGTTAAGCACATCTACAGCCAGCTGCACGGACACAGGTGCAATGTAGCTAACAACAATAGATATCTCTTCATTTGCCAAGCTGGTATTTCCACATTTACCCTTATTTTGAATTTATGTGAAACAACATAACACGCCACTAGGTCAAGCCAAACACAAACCTTAAATTAACAAAATGCAAAAGCTTACATTTTCTCTTTCATTACACTTCCACAGATATCTACCCCAGCTAACACTTCAATGCAACTGCAGAATTTCAGCATACAAAGAAGTGCGCAGTCAGCACATCCTAAATCTGCCACCTGTAAATTAGATATTAATGTGTCAATGCTGTGCATTTCCAAATAATTTCACCGTTCATAACAAATTTTCTATTTATTTCAAAATAACTCTTTAATGATAAAATGAAGCATTTCAAAATCATAACCAAAATGTACAGCTGCAAGCAGGATAGATGTGGATTTGAAATTTCTTTGAAGACCCTACAAGATACTTTAAATGCATTAACTTTCTGTTTTTACAGCTATAAGCAAGTACACATAGAACATTCCACTGACTCTGAAGATTATCTTCCACATGAGTAATGATAAGGTATTGTTTTAAGCATGAAAGCTGTGGCAGTTTTCATGTTCACTGCTTTTCACTGGACTGCTCTCCATCCAAACCACTGTGAATACAAACCAAACCCCACTGTTCTTTCTCAGTCCAAAGTCAAGGTTGGAGGGCTCAGCTCTCGATGCATAAGTCATGAGTTGTTTCTATTCAGCCTACCTCTAACCCTGTAGGTAAACAAAGTTTACACACACACAATATTTTACATCCCAAGTCAGAAAATTCAAACACTTAAACAAAAATGCAACATTCATTGTTATATCTAAAAGCAGATCTCAGTGCCATGACCTCTACATCTGTGAATACATAAATGCACTGCTACAGTATTTCTCATAAATTTCTTGCATGCTCCTTAAGACATTAACACCATTTTCAAACCTAAACCTGAAGACAGAGGTATTCTGCAACTTCTTGCATTTTCAGAGGATGGACACATTAGAAAAGAGTAGACAATACACAACACCATGTATATAGTTTAACTTACTTAAATTTTCAAAATGAGTATCAAAACAACAGCCCTGGGGGGCATAAGGGTTATTACTGAAATACCTAATGTCTTTTTTTTTTTTGCTTTAAATTTCTAACATAAAAAGACAAAACATACCAACCTTCTTAGGTTTGTATTTCCCCACTAAATCTTTAACAAACTGGTAGCGTTGTCTGTACAAAGGAGGTGTAAATTTAGTAAATCCTGTAAACTTTTCTTCCTTAAAGCTCTTATCCATAATATTTTCCTAATACTGAAATAGAAAGGTAACACTTATCTTTCAGATTACTTTATAACATACGAAATTACAGTTGGCTGTTTTCAGCAATTCACAATTAAGCAGAGGTAGACTTGATCCCCATTCTATCCAGAGAACGTCAAAAACAGCATTTAGCAAGATTAGGCACTAGCTGCTCCCTCCACATATGATGCAAATAAGGTTTTAATGAACCATTATATATATATACATGCAATCATTAAATGAAGTTACATAATTTATCACACTCTACCCAGCATACCTACCTAGTGTTTACACAACTGCAGCTTATTTCATCTTCCTTAGCTCTTTTGGCAGGAGAGGAAAAATTGGTAATTTCTCACTGAGGTGCCTGCTTTCTTGCCTCTCACCTATTATTTCCTTTATCTTGCAACTCAAATTACTTTATATCTAGAATTGTGTACATGCAGCTCTATACAATTTCTACAATGGAACAGTCAGTAGAAAATACCTGAATAACTACTATATAGCGCAAAAAGCAATGCTCTGCTGGGCCTCGGCTTTAGATTTACTATGAGCTAAATCTTGTTATTAGTGCCTGTATTCTATAAATTAACATAATCCAACATGGCAGTAAGAGTCACAGCCGTTAGTGCAATTCCAACTCTCCCACCTTTTACTAAAAACTACACTCCAGTGCACATAAATATTGAACAAGAAACACCCCCACTAAACTTAAAAATAAGGCCTTAATGAACGATGACGGAGCTCCCACGGGAATCGCATTAAGTAAAAGACCGTGGGCACAGAACTCCCAGCTCACCACCGGCTCTAACGAACACCAGGCTCAGCTAACCAAAGCAACTAGGCTGAGCCCGCGGACAACGTGAACGCACCATAAGGTCTTACATATGCAAATGTAGATCTATTTTAAATATATATATATATATATCAAAAGAAGAAGCGGCCTCAGTGTTCGGGACAATCACACATCTCCCCAGGAGCAAAATAAGCCTGCTGAGGAGCGAGCTCGCCAGCACCCACCTCCAAGCCCCTTCAAGCTCCACGCCCGTAGGCTGCGCCGCGGCCCTCCCCAAACTCTGCACAAGCCCGGCCACGGCTACCTCAGCCCTCGCCAGTGCTGCCTCAAGGCAGCCACGCCAGCCCGGCCCTGGCCCTCCTGTCTCTCCAAAGGGCCACCCTTCGCAGCGGCCACAATGTGTATGGCGGAGCGACGCTAGCTTTCCCCGGCCTCTCGATAGCTTTCCCTTCAACCCCTGCCCTTGCCTTTAGGCTCCCCCACACCCCTCCCTCCATTTTCTCTCCCTAGGACTGACCTCGAGGAAGCAACCACCTACCCTGCGAAGAGAGCGTGCGGGAGCTGAGGGCGGGCTCTCGCCAGAGCACCTGAGAAGCAGGGGCGCCTGTGTCAAAGCTCTCCACCCCGTGCGGGTTCTCGCAGTCACACCTACGCCTTCGGGCGGAAACGCCTCGACTCTCCGTGGTCGTCGGGAGCGCTGGGAAACTGCTACCCTTTAACAGGGAACTAGGTGTTCCCGTCCCGAGCTGCAGCTCGCCAGAACAGTGCGGCAAAACCTCTATTTACCTCTTTTAATGTAGGGTGGTGTCCTCTAATGTTTAACGGAACAGGAGCACAAGTGTGATGAGGAACACCTGAGGAAATTGGGGCTCTTTAGTCTGGAGAAAAGAAGGCTCGGGGGGATCTTACCCTCTCTACAACTACCTGAAAGGAGGCTGTAGTGAGGTGGGGGCTGGTCTCTTCTCCCAGATAACAAGTGATAGGACAAGAAATAACGGCCTCAAGCTGCACCAGGGGAGGTTTAGATGGGGTATTAGGAACAATTTCTTCACAGAGACAGTGCTCAGGCACTGGAACAGGCTTCCCAGGGAAGTGGTGGAATCGCTGTCCCTGGAAGTGTTCTAGAACTGTATAAATGAAGCCTTTAGTGACACAGTTTAGTGATGGACTCGGCAGCCCTGGAGTAAAGACTGGACTTGATCTTAAAGGTCTTTTCCGACCTGGATAATTTTATCATTACCAGCACATGAGCACCCAGAGATCCACCTGCTGTATTTATCTCTGCCTGTGCCAGCTTCCCTCAGTGTATTAAAAGGTGACTGGAAGTAGTGGTGGCCACTAATTTTTATACTAAAAAGGCAAAAATCTTCTTCCTGATCGTGCTGGTACTGCCAGGTGCTGTATGCCTCAGTACAGCTCCTATGCTTGCAGATGGATTTGTTACTCTCCATAATGGAAACTTAGGGCATTGCAGTGGTGCTGACATGAAGTCAAAGTGTCCTGTAAAGATCAGTGAGGTAGACTACAAACAACCCAAAGCAAATCAGTGTATTTTGCAGCAATTTATGGAGTATTTTCCACACTGGAGCAGGATTTGTCCCTCAAAGAGCAAGCAGCTGTGTGGATGAACAGTGAAACCAGGAAGGAAAACATGGAGCTGAATTGCTTGTTACTTTTTCTGTTCACAAGTATGTAAAGCATTCTACTAATCACAGGGTGGGGCTGCTATACAAAAAGAGTTGTGCATTGACTCTGTCCAGGATTTAAGGGAGGAGTTGGTTGGTAGAAGTGAGGGCAGAGAAGATTTGTTAGTTAAATTATATTTCAATGCTTTTTGTTTTAGTTTTCATAAAATACTGAAAGTCTTTATGCTGAAACCTGCCTGTGATTGTTTAACCTTGACTCTTGTTTAATCCTAATAAATTTTACAGGATGTGGCCGACACAGAGTATACGTAAGTAGCTTACAGCAGTCTAGCTATCTTGTTTACTCAATAGCTAGGAAGCGTATCTAAGTGTGCTTTCAAACTGGTAATCTAGCCACTTTCAATTAGTTCAAGATACTGGAATGATTTCATTCTGTTTGAAGTTGTTTTTTAGGTTTTGGAATATAACAGCAATTTTCTTTATATTATTTTTGTTTTATGAGTAGTAGAAATAGGGAACCACCCATACAGTTTCACAGTTGGGGTCTTTCTCTGTTACAACAGTGACGTGCTAACAACAGTGTATGAAGCAGCCTATGAGTTGCTATTTCAGTGGGAGTTTGGCTTGCAAAAAGGGTTTAAATACGTAAAGATCAGTAATGTTACAACACATATAGAGCAAACTTCTTTTAAAGTTTATATGTAACACCTGGTCAATTACTTTTGTGGGATTTTTTCTCAACAGGCTTTAAAGATCTGCATAACCCAATTTGGCTCTAAGCAGAAACTATGTGTAGAGAATAATTCCCATTAAATGCCTTTGAGTAGTCTAGTAAATTGATTTTAACTTTTTAATTAGATCCTTGCTTTTTAGCAAAGAAAATAAACTGTTATTGAACTAACAGTATGAATACCTTGCACAAGAAAAGATAGGTTCAAGTCTCTTTGTTTTATAACGCAGTTCTTTTTGTCTGAATCACAGTTTAATCCTGGACTATCATTTAGTACTTGTGTCTTAATCAGACAATCCATAAACTGTGGATAATATCTGTACCTCAGATATTGTAAAGTTTATTAACAGAAGTCTTTAATATCCTGGATGAAAATTATATAGATTTCGGTACCCTGTAAAATTCTACTCATAATTCAATATGACATTATTAAGAGGAAAAAAAAAGGGAAAGAATAGTAGTGAAGTTATACAGTAAAGTAAATTTGCAACAAATTGTGAATTCACACCATTTCCTTTGTAAGACCTCACCCAAAAATGTACCACTGTAAGTAAAACCTTCAGAATTATCAGATGTTTAATTCTCCATTATCAAACAATGTAGTCATAGAAATTTCTTTTTTCATTGTTCTGTGTTGGGTGGCAAAACTGACTAGAGATCGCATCTTTTGAAGATTGGCAACATGAAAGAAATAGCCCTATTAGTAGTTTTAAGCTGCACAATCTGCTTTGACACCAGAGAATCTGCTCTTCTTGCTAGAAAAAAAATATTTGAAAAAATATTGTGATTATTCCTCATAACATAAAATTTCTGCATTCCCTCACCAAAAAAAAAAAAATCATTTAGTATGTCTAAAGTCTGTTTTGGTCCATTGTGTCACACATCTCCCTCCTTCATGCAGTGGTATATCTACTTTAAGTCTCACAACATCATAGAATAATTTCTGCTGGGAGGGACCTTTAGATGTTATCTAGTGTACCCCCTGCTCAAACAAGGTCCAAATTGATGAGGTTCCTCAGGAACTTCAGCTCAAAGGTATTTCTAACATTGCAATCTGTGAATTCAAACTGAAAGTTCAGGTTGTATTTAGTTAAGTATGTTGACAAATTAAGTAAGCTATTTTTAGAGAAGCCTGTTACTTTTGTACCATACAAAGAGCAAAAAATATATGACTATACTGAATAAAAGCATCTAACGGTAGAAAGTCATGAATCAAGAAATTCTAAACTGCTAAAACTTACTTTATCCTTCAGTGTTTGGGATGAGAAAGAGAACTCTATGCAGTTCTTTGACTTTCCCTTTGAAGCTGCAGTGCACATAATTAAATGTGATAGCAGAAGGCATCTAATGCAGCACTACTGTCAGAAGACACTACACTGATATTTGACAGAAAAATACATGCAGCAATATTACTTAACCTATAATTCAAGAGCTAACAAGCATTCCTCTCACACCAGGTTCAGAGGATGTTCAGTGACTAGGTACCAATACTTTTCTCCTCAGATTCAACTAACAGAGTAAGCATGTTCGAGAAAATTCAGAATTCATCTGTTCAATGAGACTCTTGCATACAGCACCATCCTCTTACTTTTTTATTGTTATATATATAGTTCCTTGCAGTCCTCCTTGTTCAAGCATGTGTTTGTTTTGTTTTGGCTCTGTTCTGTATAAAGACCAGCTGGCATGCTTGAGGAAAGAAAATCTCATTTTGAGCAAATGGCTTCCTGGTTTGCAGCTGTAAAGGTTTCAGCATCACCACCAAAAAGGATCTGCATAAGAAGAACAAAAATGTCATACAGAGGAAAACCACTTGAGGTTTGAACCATACTGACTACATATTCCAACAGCAAAAGATAAACACATGAAAACACAATTTGGGTAACATAAATTACAACAGAAGTACAGGCTGTCCTGAAGTGATTACACAAGACATTAAGGATGTGCTCAGAGAGTCACGGATACCCTAAAAAAACACACCAGAACCACTCAGCTTCAAAGTCACTACTCTAGCTAGCTGTCTCCAGAGCAAGATTACCTCACTGCTACAACACTGCCACAGAATATATGGACCCAATCAGAAATCAATATGATCAGACAAAAGCCATTTACTACAAAGCCTTAACTTCGTACATAGTATTTCTTACATGCACTTACAGTGATTTGGCATATTATGATTGGATACATGTCTTGAAGACCCTCAGTGACTAACACAATTGGTTAAGCACGGGTGTAAGAACTTGACCTCAAAAGCTTGCCAACAGTCCACAGTTCTCATAACTCAGTGAATTCCAGCTTCTTCTTATCTTGCTTGCATAAGCTTCCTCAGGCCTCTCATGGCCTTGCTGTATCTGTCAGGATTATTCAGAGTTTATGTACCAATTATCCATTCTCCTGTAAGAACACTGCCTCCACATCTCTCCCTTTATGTTTTATGTATGTTTTGAATGACCCTACTTGAGCAGGGGATCTGGGCTAGGTAATATCTCCAACATATGCCAACTAGAGGCTGCCGGGCCTGCCCCTTTTTTCTGCTGTATGGCTCTCTGATAACAGGGGAGGCCATCTTTCACATCAAGGTCTGGCATGGCATGTGTCCCCACCGCTCCACGCATGCTGGGTTGCAGCCAACAGCGGAGCTAAAGGTTCTTCTTGGTGGCAAACACAGAGGCCAACCCAGTCTTGCCCTTGATTGTGGTAGCAAGCATTTGGTCAGCTTCTGTCCTTGCACCTTGTTGTCAATGCACAGTTTCACCTGCTTCATCCAGTAACAAGTTGCTACTACAGCAAGGCACACACAAATTTACATTAGCAGAGTAACTGTTACAGGGTGCAGCAGCATGTTGAAGATGCTGATGGCAGCAAGGGACTAGCCAAAGAGATTTCTTACCAGTGGAATTCTCCCACCCTCTTAATTTGTTCCATTACCTACTTTATAACACTACCATTGTATTAAAATCTTTCTAGCTTTTGCCTTAGCATTTTCTAGCAGCTACTGCAAATTTCCATACTCTAACATCTCTTTTACAAGTGACAAATCTATACAAGGTGTAGTTTCTTATTAGCAACTGGCTTGTAAATACAGGTGGTTTTATACACAAAATCACAGCCTCTAATAATAGCTACTTTACAAGCACACGTATTCAGGATGTTACTTTTCGGTTGCCCCCAAGTGATGTTTTGCAGTCATTCATTTTTCTCTTCCTCCATCTCATTCTGCTTGGGGTATTCACGGTCAGCTCCTGTAGCTGAGGCATCAGGCTCCCCCATTCGTCTGTCCAGCTCATGGCAAGGCTTCACAAACTTTGCAGGCAGTTGCCATGGACCTGTAGGCAGGAGGACACAAATATACCCCCTCCTCCAGGTTATCAGTTCTTGAGAAGCAGACAGGTTAAACTGCACATTGTTAACAGTCGCGGAGTTTGCTGCATCATTGCCCTTTTTGTTTGTTTGTGTTTTTTCACTCCTCGGCTCTGGCGTCCATGTTGGCCGTTCCACTAGTGGAGCACCTGGAGCTGAATCGGAGGGCAGCTTTTGTTTTGTTTTTTTTTTTTTCGAAGTCGCTCACTCTGCTTTGCACGGCTACAAACGCCGGCCTGCTCGGCAGCAGCTACAGCTGCCTGCCTGCTTCAGCAGCAACCATAAATACCTGCCGGCAGCTGCGCTTTTGCATTAACCCTTTCTTGCCCGAAATGTTAAACTGCTACCCGTTAAAAACTTTTACATGAACCCAACAAAAAAATACACAGAACACCGTCTGCCCTCAACACACACACACACGTATGGGATCCCACAAGCACACGCCACACAACTACAGTATTTGAAGCACAAAATCCAGACAATCATTACTCCCGCTACAGTCCCACGTACAGAACGTGGCACAAGGACCCTGTGGAAACTAACGAAACCAACTCCGAGAAGCATCACTGCAGTGCGAAGTGGCAGGCTCAACCTTAGCGGGCGTCCCCGCAGAGGCTCTGCCTCCCCCACATTGCATGAGGCCTGGGCTATTATACTGACCAAAATGCACACTCATTTCGACACAGG